AATTTCTTTACGAAAGTAGTATGTTATAAATTATTATTTAAAATCGTGCAGAGCGGAACGAGGGAGCTCGTTTGTTTTACAAATATAAACGCTCAACAATTAAACGCCTAATTTTAAACGTTATCAGGACCTATAATTATTTGTATGTATATTACAAAAAAATATATTTTAACACTGATAAGTCGATTGGTTTTTTTTTTATCTCTAATCAGTCGATAGTATAAACAAATATCGTATTTACATTTCCGTTGATTACATTATCGCGCTCGAAGTAAATAAATATGTATGCATAATCACATATTTTATAACATTAAAACCTAACCGGAATGAGTAGTATTTATTATTTTGTAGAATCGTTTAAAACGCGTATATAAAATGTATTATATAAATTACAAGCATAATATACTATTATCTTAGAAGTATCGATTGGGAATAATTAAGAATAACGCTATTATTATATTACCACGTTATTTTGACTGCGCGCGACGAGCGCGAGGTTGGTAATAAATTTAAATGTTATTTTTTTCAATTCACACGTTTCGGAATGGTAAGAATCTCGACGTAGGAATTTCAACATAAACTGAACATTTTTTTTTTTTTTGTTTTCTTATCGGTATGAAATCGAATTCTACAATAAATGTAAACAACGAAATAAATTGTATTAATTGACGTTAGAAAAAATTATTATTTATCTATTTGATTTATTTGAAAGCGTGTTAACGCTCATCGAGCATAAGCGTATTATATTATTATTAGATTTTAATTTGTGGATTTCATTTTGTATAATAAATAAATAATACAAAGGAATCGTGTATAGCCCGAAAAATATTTATGTGGTAACAGGCGAATCTTGTGGTTTTTCTTCCAGCTCCAAGTCCTAACCGTTATCGACACGACACTGCGTCTAGACAATAAGATATTACCGACCGCTGTACATGTATACGCATTTCGATGAACTTTTCAATACGTAATATCGTGCGTTCCTTGTACAACGATTTCGTACGATCAATACCGTTGGATATTGTGCAATTCAAATATATTGTCAACCGTGCATGTAGGGCGACCGCTTTGACCTTTTTGTATAAAGTTTCATATTTATTTTTTCCGCGAAACGTTGAAAATATAATGGCAAAAGTATAAGAAGACACTTTTGTTCGGTAATGCGTCGAAGACTTTGGAAAATATAAGATGTTACTCGTAAAACAGATAAGAGTTAGGTACTTACTTGTGTGTGTGATTCCCGAGCGGATTATTTACGACGCAAATACTGAAATTATACGAGAGATACGCGTTAGCTAAAACTGTTTTTAAATATATACGTGTGGTGTGACATTAACATGTGAAAATTATTGATTTTAAAAAAGTTGTTTATACGCGTGGAAAAATCCTACGCAGTCGAAAGACGGAGAAAAAGTGTTGATTTAAATTTAAATTTCATAATAATACCGCAGTACATAGTAATATGTCACATCATCGTTGGTAATCTATATTTGTTATTACGTAGCATAACACGTACGTAATTTTCATGAATTTATAATCATAATACTTTTAAAACTCGATTAAAATCTATACCAGCAATTTAGAGAAACTATTTTAAATTAAGAAGTAAACATGAATAAAAATACACGTTGTACAATAAGATCGAGTTATTAAACGTATCGATGGAAAACGGAATTAAATAATTAAAAAGTCGATTAAGTAATTAACACGATTGTTAAATTATATTTCAGGAAATGATTTCGAATAAATTTCATCTTAGATGTTAATCCGTTACAGACGACTTTTTTTCAGTTTTCAAGTGAACTATACACGTTTAAAGACGGCTATAAAATGGATCCTATAAGTCTGATATTCTCAATGCTTATTCACTTCTTCAATACTCCAGCTGTCTTAATATCTAAGTATTATACTAATACATCTGCGAAAGCGTTTGTTAAAACCATGTTTTACATAAAATGATTAAGTATATAGAATGAAATATATACGATAAGATTCGATTCTAATTATATTCGTTTCGTATGTACCAAGTGTTCGAGAAAATCACCTGCAGTGGAAACGTTTGAACATAAAACAGGTCATTTTTTTCAAATTGTCATAATGAACGATTGTCAATGTAACAGTACAATAACGATCGCGTATTGCACGATCCACACTATAATCTAAACGTTAACGTATGTATACTTTATATGCATATACATTCAAACTGATTGTGTAATGGAGAATTCGCTACACAGGATAGTCTTGAACGATGGGGCGCGAATGATCCTGACCGAATCCTGGCCGTTGTTGAGCTGGCGCTTACACTCTGTTCTGCGCGAGTCGCTTTTGTGTACACGAAGCGGGCACACTCCACCCCATTATCATTAAATTAAACGCTGTTTCATTCGGAACTTCCCGAACGACTATTACAGTTTAGACAAACATTTGTTCCGGGAAGCGACAAAATCTCAAACTTTATCGTATTTCGGAATTTGACAATTCGAGTGCTATTCGTAGCGTTGCGGGAGTTTTTTCTTACGCAGTTCACTTCATACAATATTAAATCTTTATCACACATCCTTGATGATTGTATTGTGAACATTTTTTTTGTTTGAGTTCATATATCTTTATAAATGTAACGTAAGAGATTCATTCCTACACATTTACTTAAAATTAGTTAAATATGAACACTTTGCCTAGGCACCGCGTAAAATAACTAAAAATTATTTTCATTTTGTGTAACATGTTTAAAGTTTAAGAAAACTAGGTTGAATTTAGTTTTACTATTGAGATGTTGTATTATCAGGTACTACCTAGGTAAAATCATATACAGACCGACGCAGACTATCATAAAACATTAAATCATAACTAAAACGTTTAAACTTAGGTTTTAGTTTAAAAATACAAATCCAAAGCAATGCAATTGTTAGTAAATATTTAAGTCTATATTTATAGCATACAAATGAGACAGTATGTTTAGTGACAAAACATTTACTGAGTGAGGGATTTTTTTCAACAAAAGTTTGTTATCAAATTTTGAACGATTCTAAAATGGAAATATTTATTTTCAATCGTATAGTTTGATAATGAAATCATAAACTTGAGAGTATTCGGTTGAAATTCACTCTCACGGTAAAAACATATTTGACATATAATAAGTGTTTGATGCAATATTCATGTACTTATTTGACTTATAGATTTTCAAAGATCTCCATGTTTTGGACGATGAACCCTGTACTAATATATAAAAACATTATACAGGTACACACATCCATTATTGGTGATGTGTTTTCAAAATAATATTTAAATACGCCTTGTATTATATACATTGAGCTCATAAGTTTGCATATTGTTCTTAATAGAATATATTATCATTCATAATAAAACATACAAAATCAATGGTTATTTAACCAGCTAATATAATAATAATAATAAAAAAAAAAAAAAAAAACAGCTACTTTATTACGTTACAGATGTACATTCATAATTACAATATGATAAAATGAAGTAGGAAAGTAATCGAGATGAAAAAACATCTTTTGAAATAATGAGCTTAGTTTTTAATTTAAACTCTTGTTATTTTTGGACAAGAGAAATTGGGCAAATTACATTAATTAAACGTACCCAATAAACTATATTTAATTTTTGCTTTAATAATTTACGATTATAATTTTATATACAATTCTAGAAATTTATATATTATTGTTCCATAGTCCAATGTATAGAAACTATTATCCTATCGTACTAAATGCATACAATTGGATAAATTATCATAAGATTAAGTACTAATTATTGCCGTTAATTATTTTATTCTTAATTATATAGTACCGGGTCGAGTAAAAATACAGAAAAATAAAACAAACTTAATTTGAATAAATTTACACTTAGATTAGCGTGAATTCTAATAAATTATAACGTAGTAATATAATAGTGCTTTGTCCTAAAAATTATAGCTGCAATCTTTATTTGATTGTTTATTCATGTACATTCGGTCGGTAACTCAGGAGTCCGATTCATGGTTTATTTACTATCCTGTATAAAAAGGTAGGTACACGTCTTGACAACGAAAACCAATATCGTCTCGGTTTTCTGTTGTACACAATAACATTGTATGTGTTATAACTAGACTTAAGGACTATTAGCTCGAAAATCAATCAAATATATTTCAAAAAAGAACCAAATATGCACTGAAATATGTTTTGAATTTTTTTGATTTTATTCAAAAATGAATATATAAGTACCTTATGGTATTATTTATTATTATGCCCTATTTTCTTTTTAATTATTGTTGACGGTACTCACTCGTACATAAAAAATATGTGTTTCAATTGATTTGAAAGTTATTGATCAAACCCATTGCTTGACCTGAAATACGAAACAGAACAATTAGTTAACAATAAATT